ACCCCAACCCTAGAGCGTGCGGCTCTACGATCTGTTGTTCAATACCAGGTACTTAGGTACCTAGTGTTTAGGTTGTAACAGTAGCCCTATGGTAACTAATGTGGTAATTAGTATATATAATATGATGTTAAATTAGTTAATAAAACATAATTTAAGCCATAAATATATTAATCTTAGTATTAGTTGGTATGAAAGTTCCAGATATAACCTAAGGTGGGCTGGAAAGTAACTCTAAGAGGTTAAGGGTAGTAAAAGTGTGACATCCTACTCTGGGGAGTGGAGTCACGTGATTTGTCATGTGACTTTAAGTGATCTGTGCGATCTGTGAACAGATCGCACAGAGCGGCTTACACGGTTTCCTGATCTGTGTGATCTGCGAACAGATCGCACAGAGTGCGGTCGCACACACCAAGAAAGGTACGGAGTACCTTACCTCCCATCGCAAGTTAGTTAGCATAAGTAGCCATCGTGCACCGCACCATGGAGCGTGAGGATTCCTGTTCCTCACGCAAGCAATTACATTCTATTGTGTCCCATTACTTTACAAGTCTTTGGTGACAGCAATCTGTTCAACAGAGTGTGATCCCCCTTCTTGAGATACTTGCCTTTGAGAGTCAACCTTCCTCCACAACCCCAACCCTAGAGCGTTCTGCTCTACGATCTGTTGTTCAACACCAGGTACTTAGGTACCTAGTGTGCAGGTTGTAACAGAATCCTCTTCCCAAATTACAGGCCAATGAGAATAAAGACTCTGATGCCAATCAAGATTCCAATCCCAATGAATCCCTGCCATCATAGGAGGTTAAAGAGAATCAGGCATGGATCAGAAAGAACTGGCAGGCTTTTTAGGATCATTATGAAAATATATCGAAAGAACAGGCAGCCGCAAGCCAGGTAACTACAAAGGTCAACTACATCCACTCCATGACAGCCAGCATTCCGTTTATGGCCAAGAAAAGAGCCCAAGTCCAGCAAGGAATCTAATGTCCTCGGGCCCTTGAGCAATGGTAATCTGGCTGGTAATCCGGCTAGTGGGGGTAATGAAAGTCCAGGTGGTGCTGAAGCAGAGGCAACTGCAGGTGGTGAAACCCCAGGCGGTGCTAATGAGTCCCTGTCGGCTTAGTAGGGGACTTGAACTGAATGCATTTGAACCTGGTTGGTAATAGGGCAGAGGTTGGTCACAAATCAATGGGATTAGCACCGTGATTACCAGTAACCCCAAATTGTTAAGATTAGTACAGGGATGGGCACATCCATTACTTCGCCATATGGCTGACCTCTTTTTTACTAGATCAGCATTGGCCTTAATACAGCATCTTGCCATTGTATAAATAACCATATATCTTATATTTTTGTGCTTGTTGATATGTAGGACCCATGGGTACCCAAATGGACCCATTGGGTTTTTTGGGTAATGGGTCGGACCCGTGCCAAGCAATGGGTACCCACCCATTGACCCATGGGTCCATTTGGGTCCATGGGTCCTGGGTACCCATGGGTAATTCTTAGCCCTATCTATAAAGCCCAACCCTAAGTTCAAGTTCTCAACATGTTCTCTCACAGCAAAACCATTCATCTTCACATTGCCAAACTCAACCTGACCATCATCCCGACGCAAATGATGCCGCAAGCATTCCAGAAGAGCGCCGCCACCGCGGTCGCGCTTATCACAAGTGCAGTGACTGCTCACCATGCCAGATGGGAATGGATGGTGTCGGTTGTTATATCTATAGGGATCCCTATCTATAACGGTATCTAGGCACTCCCGACGGACGTATGCGAGGGGTGCGGAGGATTGCGGGATGAGTGTCGGATGGCAACAAGTGTACTTTGTCTTTTTTTTTCTTTCCTAACACGAGATAATTATGCTAGTGACTCAATATGTATGGAACAGCTTCGTTGGAGGTCATGCCGTCACGGCTGACGATGACCTATCTTGACGTTTGGCCTCAGGATGAGATGGGATGGATTGACCGGCACCCACCTACCTAAAAACGGCGGTGCTTCGACGCGCAAGTATATATAAGTAGTGATAGGTCGGATAAATGTCTAGCATGTGAATGTGGACAAGGCCGATGCAGGGTTCTGGAACCTTGACAGGCAGTAATACTTGGCTCCCAGCATATAAGTCGTAGTGCTTGGGTCGTCTTGCAAAGATGACCCCGGTTGTCTAGTCGCAGCTACTACGACTATTATCCCATGAGCTGATAAATATTCTGACTCAATGAATGAAAGTCGAGGTAAACCCCTTGTCTGTCTGTCAAGAATGTTTGTGCGCCAAGACTTTATCGACTCACCGACACTCCCAACACGCTCCGGTGCATATGGTGCTAGTCGAGTATGGGTGTCTTGTTTGTTTGCGAGACGTCGGTCCTGTGACTAGGGCTACAGGTATCAGCTGCAAAGCTTGGGTAGGTAAGGTACCATGGACGGCCGACGCTGGTTCACGATCAGAGCCGTAGCGGCAACTGCCCACCAACGAGAGACACTGGAGCCGGGCAATGTTTCTGCAGGCCGCGCCAAATCCAGCTCAGGCTGATAGCGTGATAGAAATCATTCGATGGTCGACTGCCGGTGGGACTCGCGATGCTGGAACCCGTTGGGAAGGGCACCGAGGCAAATGGGGGGGCCAAGGCTGCGGTGGCGGCTGAAGTGTCATCGGTGTCGCAGTGTTGGCGCGTGTTGGCAACAGGAAATTGGGCTGTAGCGGCCGTGGTTGGCGGTGTGGCCCCCATGGCCTGCAGTTCGCGTATGCGTATACTAGTACTAGCAGGCTAGCAATTAATATGGGCCCCGCCCCGTCAGCCGCGAGGCGGCTGTGAAGTCTTTGCAACCCAGAATGCAAATTACCGCAGCGCCTTATCGACAAAACGCCGTATGAGTGCTAGACGGAAAATAAGGTGCTTACGACATACGGGGTTAACATGGACAGCCTCGACACCGTATGTCCGCCACCACCTAACTTTCGGCGGCACCGGCAGACGACTTGCCCACGGACAGGGGCTAACCGTTTCGCTGGGATGGCGTTGCATTTTTAGCAAGGCCTCTCCAGGTCAAACTTTCTGTCAAGTCACTGAGACATGACGCAAGGATCTCCGCGTCGGCACCACTACCCTGGTTCCTTTGCGGCTACGTGCATGCGCTATTGGCTCGGTCGCTCTGCTCCCCCCTCGACTGATCAGCTCGGGCAGCCTGTTGTGCGCCTTACGCTGTGTGCATGCGCGGCCGGTTCAGCGTCTTGTTAAACCGTCACACTCCCCTTTGTCCGTCCCCTCCATGGTACAATGGGAGAATGATTGCAAATCCGCAGGAGAAAGCTGCTAGACATCTTCCATCCATCACCCAGCCTCCAGACTCGCCCAAGCAACACCATGATGACACCCACCCTCTGGCAACGGGAGACAGCAGTACCCACGGTTCCCCACCGTCCCTTTCGCTGCGGCGCCAACCTTGGCGATGCCGCCCGGTTTCAGCAGGCCTGCCGGAACCTGGACACGCTCAGGAAAGATTACCGTGAGTACTACCGGTTTTCCACCTGTCATTTGCCCTTTCCCTTCTCATCTCTCATTCTTGCTCCTCATCCTGTGCCTCGGCGACACAAGACGACGGCTGACAGGAGCCTCCTGCTCCAGGCCAAAACCTCGAGAGCCAGATCAGCCAGCTCGAGCGGGAACTGAAAGGAGTCCGCGATCACCGCGAGAAGAGGACCGTGTCGGCGGCCAGGGTGCGCAAGAACCGCGTCAGGAAGTCGCTGTCGCAGCTTCCCTCGGGGCTGAACCTGACTTGCATGGAGGGCGGGACGATATCCCCCGGCAGTAACTGGAAACCGACGGCAACATCATCATCCCCTTCCCAGCACGACGGCGGTGCTTCGTATTTGGATGACAGGGCAAGCATCCCGATGACGGGCTCGGCCGGGGACGGCACATCGGCCAGTGACTCGGATGGAGCTGCGTCCCGGTCGGCCTCGGTAGGACCAGAGAGTGGCGTCCCGAACGGCGGCCGGGATGGTGACTTGAATGTGCTGTGCTCGGCACTCGAGGGCTTGGTCGCGCAAACCGTCCAGGATGAGGTTGGAAACGCAGAGTCTCCGAAGAGGCGTGGGACGGTTTAATGTGTTTTCTTCAAGCTCGCAAAAATATGAAACTGGGGGCTATATCCTGCCTGATAATAATAGCGTGGCCTTTGACAATTTGGCCACCATCTTCAGCCGCATGCCTCGTTTCTCATCAAGGGTGTTATTCCCGTCGTGGTCACGATATGGCTTGATGTCATGAGAGACGGGTAGTCTTTGGCCCGACACATCACTAGTATCGACGTGGGACAGGGATCCAACAGTGAGCAGGGCCTGGCAGCGAATGGGTCAAGCACTTGATTTAATCAACTCCCGGTCGAACCGATGCACCCGCTGTCTCAAATCGGCCTAATTTCATACCGCTCTCGTTTACTAACCTGACCAAATGGGGTTGGTGTTTGGGAATTGCCATCGGAAAATATCTCTTTCTTCTTCCTAAGGTCTTTGTGGGGGTTTGTCAAGTCGTCTCCCCGGTGTTTGGCCCAGGGGAGGAGCTCAAATGTCATCGGGGCGGAGTAACGGGCAGAGTAACGGGGCCAACACAACCAGAGCTGTATACGGCAGAAACAACTTGAACTATTTCAGTGATATCCCTTTGTTTCAGTCACCCCCATCCTCTTCCCGTTCGCTCCTCGGCCTCGGCGACAACCAGACTCAAGTCCGACTCTACTCGTCTACCAATTTCAGGTGCAGCAATTCCTATGAAACCTCCACCTTCGACGTCAACTTAGATTTCTGTCTCCTTAGTGGGACTCAGAGAACACGGTACCGTGGCTGCTGAAATGTGCATGACTCGTAAATACCGCGGAAATGGATACAAATTAGTATCTTAGGCTCCATTTCGCTGCCACCTCACCCCACTGCCCGAGACTATCCGTGGCCCAACGGTCAGAGTCAAGGCGCTCAATTCATGCTAAATCATTCAGCGCCAATGGTCTAGTGGCTAGGATTCAACCCTTCCAAGGTTGAGGGGGGGGGGTTCGATTCCCTCTTGACGCATTCTTTTTATCATCTTGTCCGCTTCTCTCAGCTTTAGCGGCTGCAGCACTTTCTTTTACCGCTCCCTGACATTCTTTTCGGAGTTGCGAGGCCTGCCTGATGTGGCAATGGGAAAACCACGTGAAACTGCAACATGTTTCCCCTATTAATTATACTCGATGTATGCACCTTTCTTCAAGCAACGTAAACATGGGATGATTGCATGTATTGGAGACTCCAAGTTACAGACTGTAATATTGTTGACGCCGTATGGCCAAAACTTGAGCATTTAGCTCCCGTTTATCTCAAACCAAGATCTACCTTTTATCGCCACTGAGACCATTTTATTCCAACCACTGCCGAGAATTCCAACAATCCCCAATTCTGCCCATTCAGCCAACCGCAATCGACATATTGGCAAGTTCCGAGGCACGTTTTCGCATCGGCATACGCCTCAGCTTGTCTCCCTCCCCTATATACGGGCTTGGCTGACTCAGGTTCCGCTCTGCCAATTGAAGAAGTTGTGCGGCACTCAGACAAGGGAGTGGAAGCGAGCTGTGGGATGCACACGCCGTATGCACCCATGACATGCACCCCGCCTTCCATCCGCCATGCCTAAACAGGGAATGCAACTTGTGACCGACATCTTTCCATACGGTTATCTCGATGAGTCTCTTGACGACACGGAACAGCTCGACAGCCCAGCTTAGTAAAGGTAGCCTTTAGGCAGAATACTGCTTTGGGAGAAGGATACCAGAATTGGAGAAGACTATTGATCACCAATAGGCGACTGAGATAGCAGGGAGCAGATGAACCTGAAGGGGCAATTGCTTAACTGGGCATGTCTTGGGCCTGTACATCAGGGAGGGAAGGTTGCTTCCACTGCAGAGTCTGCATTGCGAGAAAATACTGTCTCCCATTAAATGATCAGACGCAAAGTGAAATCCGGGGGCACAGCAGTTGGAGAAGCGGCCAAGACCATATTGGGCAGCTACGCTAATAAGCGGCAAACGATGTGCATCCAAGGGTCGCATTATTGTTAGTGCTGTGCCTCGATCCTTTGCCTGTCTACGACAGTACAAGGCTGGATTGAACACTGATCTCGGCAGATGGTCCGAATCCGTAAACAGCCCCCGCTACGCCCTGGGCGTAATTTCACCATGTAACTTGTACCCGCTGAGAAACCCTGTCCGAGCCCAGCTCCGTGCCCCCGTGCCACCGCGCAAATTATCCCCACTGATCCCGCAGACAAGGGCTCGGATCCGCCGTGGCTCGGCCAGGCTGAATTGATCCCGAGTACCGAGATGCTGTTGGTATATACTGCAGGCAGTCGCCCGCCCGTGTCAATTGGAGGCAGTAATCCTCCTCGCCCCTCTCTCGCGTCGCTCCTTTCACCATGGCTACCACAGCCAGATTTGCAACCGGCTTTCTGGCGGTTGCTTCGCTCGCCGCTGGTGCATGGCTTCCTGAGAGCATCTGCACTCGCATCATCACAACAGATGTTGCCATTATTGGCGGTGGCGCAAGTGGCGCGTATGCGGCTGTACGGTTGAAGGAGGACTTCAACAAGAGCGTTGTGCTCATTGAGAAGAGGGGGCTGTTAGTATGAGCATCACTCGAGCCGGCCGAGACAATTGAACTGACCCCCTTTTCAGGGCGGCCACGTCTCGACATTCGATGATCCCGAAACAGGGACGCCCTTCGACTTCGGCGTGCAGACCTTCAACGATTACGGCCCGGCCCGCGCCTTCTTTCAGCGCATGAACGTGACCGTTGGTGTCGCTCCACGAACACCCCTGGTCTCGCGGTATGTCGACTTCAAGACGGGCCTGCCCGTCGACTTCACTCCCCCATCCGCTGCCGACAGGACTGCCGCCCTGCAGAAGTTCCTCAACGTCACGCAGGCGTACGAGCAATACTTCCTACCGGGGTACTGGGACTTCCCGGCCCCCGGCGATATTCCAGCCGACTTGCTGCTCCCGTTCGGCGAGTTCGTGAACAAGTACGGCATCCACGCCGCCGTGAACCAGGTCTTTGAGGTGACGGGCATGGGCGTGGGGGATATGGCCAACGCCCTGACCATGTACGTGCTGGGCGCCTTCGGCCCGCCGATGATTCGCGCCTTCATAGGCCTAGGCACCACCTTCACCCCCACGTCCCGCCGAAACCTCGAGCTCTACGAGGCCATCGAGGCCCGCCTCGGGCACGACGTGTTGTACAACAGCACCGCCGTCCAAACCATCCGCACCTCCCTCGGCCACACCCTCTGGGTCCAAAACACCAACGGCACCCACACGCTCGTCCGCGCGCGCAAGCTGCTCCTCGCCATCGAACCCACCGCCGCCAACATGGCCCCCTTCTCCCTCGACGCCACAGAAAACACCCTCCTCACCAAATTCCGCCACCAACGGATCCACGCCGGCATCGTCACCCACCCCTCCCTGCCCGCCAACACATCCCTCGTCAACACGCCGGCCTCGGCGGCCCCGGCCAACTACCTCGCGCTGCCCACCGGCAACTTCAACGCGCGGGTCGACCACATGGGCGGCGGCTCGGCCAACTTTCGCGTGCTGATGGTGGGCAACGAGACGTTTGGCGCGGCGGAGGCGCAGGCTTTGGTGCGCGGGAATTTCGAGGCCCTTGTCGCGGCCGGGACGGTCCGGACGGCCGGGGCCGAGAATCCGCTGGAGTTCAAGGCGTGGGCGGACCACGGCGCGATGCACATGCACGTATCGGCCGACGAGATCCGGGGTGGGTTTGTGCAGAGGCTGTATGCCCTGCAGGGCCGGAGGGCGACGTGGTGGACCGGGGGCGCGTTTAGTGTGCAGTTTCAGGCGGTTTTGTGGGCGTTTGATGATATCCTGTTGCCAAAGATTGTTGCCTGAGAGGCGAATGTGGGAGAATGCAGTCTGTACTTACTCACCTCTATAGTTACCCTCCCACAACATTTTCCGACCAACTCCGAATTAGTCGCAGAGCCTGAGCGGGGGGTGAGGCAAGCACCTCCCTGAGCCGAGGTGAGTTCGGCTGTAGTTACCGTGATTTAAAATCGGTTGAATGTGAGTTGCAAGGATCCGCTCCTGGACCCAGTTTTGGGACACCAGTCCACCACCAAGTACTACCATTTTCCTTTGTTTGATGCGCAGTGGCGAATATCGTTATCGCTATTGTTATCGCTATCGTTATCGCCGTCAGTAGGTGGGGCGGAGTCTCCATGGCGAAGCGACGACTTGTCGACAATTCCATTTGGCTGAACAAAACATGTCAAGACCTGTAAGATGTTCACAGCCACAACGTCACTAAAATGCGACGCGCCAACATTAATGTCGAAGGCAGTGTCAATGGGGAACTCGACAGTTCCCAATCTAGGCGCGGCCGCATCACATCGAACTACACCACAGCACCGTCGCCAGTGTCGCTATCACAATCACCCGAGCCGTCCTCTATCAACAATATATTACGGAACCACAGTAGAGACCGCCTCTATATTCCACCGCTACAATGGACGGCCCAGCATCTCGATCTCCTCGGCTGCCGGTTCGTCCGCAACAAGGCCCCGCGACTGACGGGTGAGGGCCATCGGGTCGACCTATCAGCTCAGACGGCCCTTAGTCTACTGGCAAACCGTCTGTTGCACCCAAGCATCACCGAGTTCAAGACTACGGTGATCCGACTACACCTCAAAGACCACAACATCATTTACAGAAGGCGAGTACTTCCTCTACGTCCCTCCCCTAACGAGTTATTTTGACCTAAGTCCCTTTTTCAGATCCGATTTGCTTTTCAACTTCGGTTCCCGTCCGGTGATCAAGCTCCCTACCAACGGCGTGTTCTCGCTCTCGGGAACCGACTCAGCCGCCCCAGTTATGGCATATTTGGATCTCGAGGCTGTGAGATCACGTCGCAATGCGTCCATCAAAGTCTCTGGCGACAACAGACCTAATCCACCCATCGCTGGCCTTCGACAGAAGATACAGCGCCGGCTGAATCCAATCAAGGAGGCTGAAGATCCATATATCGCAGCTGTCTTGGTTGCGCTTGCACAAGCAGCAGCGAGGGATTCTCCGGTCCCAGCCACGTCGCAAGACGAAAAGGTTGCCCCAGAGGCTACTACCAAGGTATGTGGATAGTACAACCGATCATCCGGATTTGTAACTAACAAGTTCTAGGTCTATCTTCTTGCTCGGCCATCGGACACTCAGGGCCTCTACTTTTACAAGGCTCAATTTTCCCCCGCGTTCCTCGACAGGCTCGATATGCCCTCCCGCTATTTCCCAAGCCGCGCGGTCAAGATTTCATACTACCTTATTCCCCTCTCGCCTACAAGGAAATTGGCACAAGCGATGGACTATACAATTTCTGTGATTCATGGCGTAACGAGGCCTGGAGGTGCCAGAGATGTAGAAAATCCAAACCTTGCATGAACGTGAAAGGGTTTCCGTTTCTATTAATGACTCAAACTTGATTGTGTCTGGGTGTTGATGTTCCCTCCTGGGCGGCTGCGTCACCCCCAATTACCTTGTTCCGGACGATGAGGATGGTGGATGCCGCTAGCACTGCCGGGGAAGATGCCGGCGTCACCAACGGCCACCCTCGGTCCAGCACCCCCAGAATGCGTCCGCCCCCCGGCTACGACCGTGCCGACGGCGTCGCCCTCGTAGGTAGTGACCACAATGCCGGTCTTAATGTTCTTGTACCAGGTAGCCGTCTGCGACGGTGGCCCTGGCCCTGATCGTGGGGAAACAGGGCGAGGCTGAGGAGGGAGATCTTGAGATCATTCCCTCCACGATGGCAGATCAAGCAAGCAAGTAATCAAGCAAGGTCAGCTAAGGTACCTCATTCAAGGCGAGGTAGAAATGGCGGACCTACAGTATCCAGGGTGGGCAAAAAGATTTGATTTGGTGCCGAATAAATCTGACTAACCAATCGAATATTTGATTCGAAATATGGGAAAACGTGTATGTATAGCGTGCGCCCACTCATAGCGTGCGCCCACTTTTCCCACCCCATTTGAACTTTCA